GGCGACACAACAATTTTTTCCAGCGCTTTCTCTCAGCAAGCAACGTGTGATAAGTAGAATATGACAAAAGAAAATTTTTTGAAAGTCTATGACGTTACAGTACAGTCCTAATGAATACATACTTTCGTCTATAGAGGATGGATCGCCGGCCAGTTCCTTATTATCATTGTAGTACCAGGAATTTTTTTCTAAGGTAACAACAAAATGTAGAACAAACTCCTTATCCACATTCTTTTGCTTGTTTTTGGAGTCCAAACTTCCTTTCTTGCAGATCAGCAAGGGACCAAAAAGACCTAAAAGCAGGAAAAATAAAAAATTCAATAAATTCCGTAGCTTATAAAGATACGAGAAAATGGCGCATCCATGATGGTGGCAACAACTACAGCGAAAGACTTCTAAGAAGGAAACCTCTAGGAACAGGGCGTCACTCGATTTATCTCAGCCAATTCACCAGTCCTACAGAGAACAAAACGAAAATTTTCGCCACATGTTTTTCAGTATTACGTATAAAACTTTCATTTGAATATCGAGCTCAAAGGAAGAGACAGAGGAGTCTGAAGAGATTGATTCACAAATATAGCTGCTAGAAAATATTCTGGTTTATGGAAATTTCAGTGACTAAGAGTCACGCCTGCCTCTCTCGTGTAGGATACTGGTCTACTGCAGGTTTACTTCCCTTCACCCCCACTCCCACCCCCACTGTCTTCGCCAGCATCTACCTAGATCTCTCTGACAGTCTGCTAGTGACAATTCCTAAATAATTCAACTAGTAATTAGTGAAGTGTCTTGCCTAAGAGAAAAACACCAAACGACGTCCAGTAGGATATACCTAGGCCACCGCGTTATCTATACGCAGTCATGAATTCTGTCATGACTAAGTGCGTACCTGAATATCTGTCCTTCGTTGGGTTCACACTTGACAAGTACATTCTGGTTAAACACTGTGCGTCTGTATCTCTGGGACCCATTTCCTCGGGTATAGTCCACTTGTATGTAAACGTTCCGTTTGGCCTTATTTCGTCATCATCCTTGTCTTTCCCGGATGTACCATCCTCATACAATGCTCCTTCGTTAGATTTGTTATAAAGCAATCCGATTGGATGAACACTGTAGTTTCTTGACGCCTAAAATTTACACTCTATATTACTTAAAAGTTTTTCCGCAATTCTGCATTAAGTAAGCGCATTTTACATCGCAAAAAATCAGCGAGGGCCATTCATGTTTGCGAGAGAGAATGATCTTTTTGTATGTGTAAGCACGCTCGCGAATTAGTACATAGATGCTGCAAACACGTTAGAAATTGTGAAAATGCCTGGGATAAGACATACATGTTGTACACCATTTATCGTAGGAGTTTGGTTTAATGAAGGTTACCGTTAGGTGAACTTACATGAATCGAATGCGCCTACTGATATATTAGGTGGAGCTAATTACACGCCTATTAATTCGTGAAGCCGACGTTAAACTGACCTTGTTGCGAAAGACCACCTCTATAGTGTCTCCAACCTCTCCACGGACAACAGGTCCCAACGAACCAAGATGGATTTCATCTTCAGTGCGATTCTTTGGAGTGATAAACGTGTCGTCTGTGTACTCGATAAAGAGAGCTTTTTTGTAGGTGCCTCCAATTCTGTTGTTGCTCTTAATGAAGTACCTTGAAGAATCACTAGTGCAAACACGCATTTGGATAACAAAGTGACATCAGAAAAAATAGAAGAAGTTGCTATCACACTTATCGCCCTGTTTTTTGTCCCTTGTTACTTAGCTTAATGTGGCTTTTAATTTTTTTGGATGTTGAACTCTGTCTGTTTTCGTTATCTACCAGGTACAATTCAATTACAATAAAACGTAGAATGGAACCTTTGCGTTTGTCCAAATCAAGCTAATTTGGACTGAATTAATTTACCCTGACTGTGAAGAGCATCTTACAGTTTTCTCAAACTTTAAACGTATTGATAACCGCGCTTAAAATCTATCCAAGTTACCTCCCGGGCTTTAATAGATCATTTCCAGTTATTTGGTTTACTCCGCTAGGACCATAATTCCACATCTTTTCTTCGGCAGCGATAAAGTATCTTCGCGTGCGACCTCCGCTAGCGATTGGTACTTTAATATCGCGGTCACATTTGGTTACGTTGAACAAAGCATACATCCCTCCGTCGTAGTTACTGGTCACCATGCAGTTCAAGAGCCAAGTTCCCGGATTTATGGCGGTCATACTTGCTGTCACAAACGTGGCAGGCAAAAGAGTGGCAACACTTCTGAGATGTTTGTCAATTGTAAACGTCTGGCCGTGAAAATATGCTGCAGCGGATTGGATACAATATATGGTTACTCAAGTGTCCAATACAACTTTTATAAGGGTAATTATTACTCTTCATCACACAAATGTCCAAGGGTATGGGAGCAACCTCCCTCCCTATATTGTTCGACTTGAGCCATTTTCCACTTAGTTAGATCTACTGAAAAAGAGGAATTTAATAAGCTTTTGTGGCAAACACTTCTCTGAGACCAGCCTGTGGAGAAGCACGAGGGGTTGTGGCTGGTCAGGCTCAGCGGAGTACTATATCCGACTTGCTATGTGCTATTAAATTTTACGGCGATGGGGCCTAAAAAGATCAAAGAAACTCTATGCAGGTCTATCGTAATTATTCAAACAAAGTTAAATGTCGTGAACAAGAAGGCCAATTTGTTTTTGCCTTGATGATTTTTCCCCATATTTTTATAAATTTTTCCCACAGCAATAGCTCTGACGAAGGGCTAACGCTCGAAAAGTCAGCTTTTTCACCCTTTACGGTGGCTAATTTACGTTTTCAACTCAGTTGTTAACACTAAATTACCTGCTATACTCTCCCACCGACGCAGCACCACAGTTTCTTTAGAAACTTTCCCCTTTGTTAAATAAAGTATTTCCTCAAAAAATGCTTCCCTTATGTTTAATTGGGGATGCACCAATCACGGAATTACAAATACAAAATCCAGAATCTAGAGTGAGAAAGGTGTGGCAAAGAGAGCGGAGTCAATGAAAGTCTGAAGAGCAGGTTTACAAGAAGGGAATAAAAGGCGAGGAGAAAAAAATTTGGATTTGTCAAATGATTCGTTGGAATACGTTAGCTAATAGAATTTAAAAAAATAAACAACAAATTGACGAAGTGACAAGTTTCAAGAACGAGAGACACCTGTGGGTAAAACTGTTTACAGAAGTTAAAAGATTATTACCTCCGTGAACGTCAGTATCAGTGCCGATGCCTACCATATGCCAGCTTATTTTGTCTCCAAGGCACAAATCCAGACCTTCTAAGTTACCAAACACTCTGCCATTGATACCATACATTTTATTGCTTTTTACAAATCCACCATCTGTTTTTTTCTTCATGGCTCCGTCAGGATCAGTGCAAAATTGTTTGATATTTTTATCAAGAAGCCAACTCTTGTTCTCGTCCATTACAGTAAACAACACAACGAAATCCTTGCTTACATCTGTTCGAGCCCCAGTGTTTGCATCTAAGGTTCCCTTCTTACAAGTTAAGATTGCCCCTGTTCGTCGAGAGAAAAAGTTAATATTTTACAAGACTGAAAACAAACTGGGGATAATACTGACCACAGTGTTAAACAAAATCCCCATAAGGAAAAAACTGAGTTTAAGGTACGCTGGGTTTAGGAACCGTCAACATTATTCACCACGGACTGAAATAAGGGGATACTGTAAACTACTCACCAATTAAACCAGTGTTGATATCTGGAGTGGGTTCGACATGTGAATGGTACGCCCAAGTGAGGCAGTTCTCATCACTTTTAGTCGGTGCGTGAGTTTCTGGAATTGTCCACAGATAAACACGGCTCCCACCTGGTTGAACGTGATCGTCCTCTTTCAGGTCTCCCTGAGTATGATCATTATAGAGGGCTCCCTCTGAGGCCTTATCATAAAAGACTCCATGCGGGTGCATCGTGAAGGGGCGGTCTGAGGCCATGTTCTTGAAGTGAACCTCTAGAGTATCACCAACTTCAGCTTTTATTATGGGACCAAGCAGTCCTAAGTACTTTGGATGAGGTTTTTGCTTCGTGAAGGTCCCATCGGTGAACTCTCTGTAAAGGACCTTACGATAGACCCGTCCTATCCTGTGATGGCCTGACACAGTAAATTGAGACCCATCACTGGAAAGGAAAAGTAGATTATTTGAAGGTCCCATTTACACAACATGCGAAAGGCTGCTTTATCCGAAATTTCTGCATTGCAAGGCCAATTGTATAAATTCATCCGAAAATTCAGCTCATATGATACGTATATTTATACTACTCCATCCTTGTCAACCATTAGGAGTCGAAAAGATAAATACATTTTGTGCCTTGAGTTTCTATTGAGAACCACACCCGTACGCCGCTCGACTCTTAATTGGGATAAAGTTTTACAAAGATAATCCAAAGGGAAACGAAAAATGCACGACAGTTTAAAAAATAGAGAAGTCTTGTCTGTCTTAAAGCACACAGGAAGCGGCTAGAGCACGAAAGAAGTGTAGGGGGGAAATAGGAGACGTAGTTGAGTCTCTTTACTTCTTGAGTGCTCTAGCCGCTTCCTAAGTGCTTTACAACAGAACAGAGCACAGTCAAGGCTTCTCTATTTGTTTCATAATAAAGCTTAAGAACCCGTTAAATTCCCCACACACTACTTTTAATTTTAAAAACAAACCCTATTTCCAAAGCGAACAACAGTGTCGTCAGCATGCTCTATACTCTCATAAAGCTCGCTACAATAAGCTAATCAGAATCCCTGTTAGAATGGTTAAAATAATCTGATTGGCTGTACAAGACTAAAGCTGTCAAAAATGTCAAACCATCATAGTTCAAAAACCATCAAAGTTCACATTCTTCAATAGTTACAAACTTAATGGTTCGGCAGGTCGAATTTAACTCTTTCGCCTGAAGCCTTTTAGTCTTCATAAAATAATCGTAAAGTAAAATGTTCAGTGAAATCCGGCCGAATTATGGCTCATAAGAACACGCAAGTTTTTTTTCACATGACAATTAGAGGAAAACTGTTCAAGCGTGTGTTTTATGAATGAACTACAGCTGAATTTACCGGAACATGACGATCGCTCGGGATGACAGAGCCATAAAACTCGGCTGCAGTGACTGATGTGGCTTTCCACTCAACGCATCGGAAAGGATATCAGAGCAAGCTCTTAGTTGTTCTCTCAAAGGGCGGCCGATGTAATTTCTGAGGCTTACTTGACTGCGATGACCGGAGATCGCCATGATGAGCCAGCCGCATTTGACCTCAACTTGACACTGTCATGATTAGTATGGACTTCAACGGTTATGCTAGTTTGGCTATATTTTTCATCTCCATATTGTTTTTTCTATTTTGTTTTTGAACACGAAACTATAATATACTACAAGAGAGTTAGCTGTGTTTGATTTTTATTACCGTACGTGAAAACCTTAAAAACTCAGACTGTACATTTCGTTTACTCTTTGAGGATTTTCGTCTCTGCTCACGTTATAATAACGTCAATTACGGTATGTTTACAAACCTTTGTTCGGTTCTTCTGTTGTATTTGCCGACTTGCCTGTTCCGAAATTTCACTTTTAATTAAAGAAAAAAAAAAACTAAGGAAAAGTCCTGGAGAAAGTCGGACATAGTATAATTTGGCAGATGGCGTGATGGCCTCAGCTCAGCCCTATGCTCTATACTCTCAACCAATGACAGCGCGCGTCATATCCGAATTTTATTACAAAATCCATTTATGGAGTCATTTATGGCACAATTTATCTTTAAGAGGCTCCGTAGGGTCTTTTGATCGCGCGAGATCTGGGTGTGAACATAGCGCGAGCTTTAAAAGTGACAACATGCAAAACAAACATGGCGGCTCAATTCGATCGCACGATTGTTATCTGAAAAGGTGTGTTAGAATCAGTTTAACTTATTGCGGTTTTTATCTAATGGAATCTAGGGTTTCTAACAACTACGCCCGTAATATTTATAAGCATTCTACCCCTGAAAAAGAGGTCAACCGAAAAGAAAATACCGTGGGAAAGATTGTCAAAAGGCGACAGGTCTTAACGAAGTTCTGTTCCATTACGTAATGTTCTGCGACAAAGAAAATAAGGATCTTTCGAGTAACATTTATAGCGTTTCCTTCGGTGGAATTTCCTAAGATTTGCTGGCCCGTCCGTCAAACATATTTGTTTCCTTCCTAGTGCCTATAGGAAAAAAATTCATAAGACCAAATCTGAGATAGAGGAAGAAAACACAAAATTGCAAATAGTTAGGAAACTGCCTTTGTAACCCTATTTTTCTCGGCTTTTAAATGATCGGCAGGAAAAATTTCACAAGTTGTGAAAATTTTAAGACATTTCACTGAAGCAAATTGGAGAAAATCAAAGGCAAAACCAAATTATCACTGGTGAGCGCCTCCTTTCGTCGAACCTTAGTTTACAGCAAGCGATAGTCCAAACCCTGCTCATTGCCTTTTGATGGCTTTTATTGACCTTTAAAAGCAAAAACAAAAAAATGTTTCAGAAAAACATTACGCTGGCGCGCGCGCCAACATTTAGCGAAAACCCTACGGAGCTTCCTTCAGCAGGTGCTCGATTATTTCGCTTCGTTTTGCCGATTTATGCCTCCCCGTACGGAGATAGCGTACTCGACTGTAGGAATTATAACTTTGAAGTACAGGTTTAAAAGATCTTGTTTGGGTAACAATCTGCTCTTCTTCATAACACCTATAGTTTACTAGCAAAGCTCTTCTTTAGTCCCTTAAAATTAATGGACCAGCCCAGCTTGTCATTAATATCCACACCCAGGAGTCCACTGTGTGTTATCCATTCTAAGTTATTACCTCCGAGGCAATAACTTAGAGGGGTCAGTCAACGATCCTCTGTAAATTAAAATGCATTCTTTGATTTCTTTGAGTGTGGTGTCAGTTTTTTCCTCAGGCACCAGACCGTACAACTCTGTTAGGGATTGATTTAACGCAGCAGACACTTCATCTATGGTCTATGGTCTTCCCGATGCAATATATGGTGGTGTCGTCCGCGTACTTACAGATGGACCCAGGTCGATGACTGGACGGACTCAACAAGATTGCTTGTGTAGAAAGTAAAGATATAACGTGGGCTCCAAGACAATCCCTTGGAGGATGCCAGAAGACACTGAACGGAGGCGTAACCTTTGCCTTTTTAAAACCGTATACTGTTGTCAAGCTCGTTCGCAAAATCTCGCACTCACTCGCCACAAAATACCTCTGCTAAGCAGATACATCTAGGGGCTCGCATAACTGCACATCAGTTTCAACGTAATTATTTTAGGCGGCTTGTTTGTAATAATCAAAGGTTTCTTTGTTTCAAATGATGCGCTGTGAAGTGAATGCTAATCAGTATGTAGTAATTAGTGGCGATGAATAAACACATAAAAGATGATGGATAAGCTTAATTCTTAACCGGTCTGCGTCTCTTAGATTTGTGAAGGTTGACAAGCTGGCACAAATTTTGCGTGAACGATTGCATATCAGCTAACCTTGCCAAACATGGATGGAATTCGTTTTTAAAGCAGTTTCGGCATATAATCTGTTGACATGTGTTAGAGCAATGTCTGACCAATATCATTTTTAAGCGGTTCCCGTTACTTCTAAATATGGAATTTTATGCGGCACAACAAGAAAGTCTTAGAATGCTTTTAAATCAGTTTGAGACTTGAATTGTATTCAGTTCTCATGAATCTTGAATGTTAATGATTCAGGCTCTCTGACTGGATTTGTTTCAACTTTGGATTTAATCTGTTGGCATCTGCTTGGGTAAAATTTCCGCACAGCCCCCGGCCATACTACATTATGCAATCAGTTCTTGAATTGAGAAAACAATGAAAAAAACAATACATTTCCATTAGGAAAACAGATTTTTTTTTTACGATAGCATGGGGCTGTGCGGAAACTTTACCGCTACTCGAACAATATCTGACCAAGATATGATCTTTGGGGGTTCGCGTCACGAAAGTGTTTATTGACAGTTAAGCAGGATAATGGAATGTCTGAGAATGTGTTTAAATTAGTGTGCGACTTGATTGGTATTCAATTTCTCGAATCTTGGTACGTCCAAAAATTCGCTAAAAAATCTGCTCAGAGTAAACAAAATTGAACCAGATCACGCACCCCTGAAAAGCTAACAAAGGGTGTTACAACAAAGGTAAAAAAAACAGACTTACAGAGGCTGGTAGCTATATATTACTCTTGATCAGTTTTTAATTCGCTTTCTTCATATGAGAGTGATCAATAATAACACAAATGCAGCTTCGGAAAAAAACAGCGTCCTACTGAAGATTTGAATTGAATCGATCCTGAAAGTTCAGTTTTAGTGGCGCAAAAATGATCAAAATGTTTACCTGTCGTCCTCCAGTGGAACTCCATTAAGGTTGTTAAATCCTGTGGGTGCGTAATTCCAATCCATCTCAACTGCTGCGATGAAATACTCCCTTTTCTTTGAAAGGCAGCCTCTATAAAGGACAGTTGCTAGCAAAGCAAAACCCGATACGAACTGTATGAACGATGACATAACGCGTACAACAACGATACGTTCTAATCAGTGAATGCAGATGCTATAGTCAACAGCCGAAACGCTTCACTGCGGAAATATCTAAGAATAAATGACCGTCGGACCTGTGTAAGCGGCACCGTATTGAGGTTACTTCCCACCTTCGCGGGTGTCCCTCGGGAAAAATTCGTACGCGCGCTAGTTTCTCTGAAATCCCAGCAAACTAGACGTCAGAAGAAAGCTTAA